CGACGGGCTTTAATGAGTTGTAAGGAGACTGAAGAAACCCAGTGATTATAAGCGGTACATTTCGCGAACCCACAACTGACTGTACCCACCATTTTCATGGCGTTATGCAATTGCAACCAATCCTCATCTATACTTTTCGGTGGAATGGTAGCTAGCCTAGAAGCTAGCTCGATTCGATACTTGCAATAGAAGTTGCAACCAACTTGCTAACATCAGTCCTTTGGTGGCGGTCACTTCGTTGGCCACTGAAAAGTAAGGTAAGATTAGTACAGACCAGGGCATGATCAGAGTCCAGATAGGTACTCCTAAAGGAGCGGCAGTCTTGTACACAACCAGCGGTAGCTGATCGCGCCGTGATCAACCTGAGTCCATGCTTGAGATGCAGAAGGAGGAGGCCAGGTGGCACATCGGCGATGATTGTGCCAGAAGTTAGTGGTAGCCAGAAACAGGTTGTGGTCTGTGCACAGTTGCAGTAGACGGTCAATGTTATTTGACCTGCCACCAATAAGTGCCCATCGGACACCTAAACGACTCTCTTCTGTGCCTAGACGCCCGACCTGAGCATCCAAGTCTTCGACTAGTATTACAATATCTGTCGGACGCGCTTTCTGTAGAACTGTTAGCTGGTGATAAAACTCATCCTTTATCTCATCCGGGCTGCGATCAGTCGGAGCATAGAAGGAGATGACGAATAAACACCGTTTCTTACACCAACTCCCTCTTACTTTGATGGAACTTCCTAATCTAAGAACACATAACCGACTGTTAATGGGGATCCGATCGGTCAGTACTGCCTCAGCTCTATCGCTTAGTGTGACACTATTGACAGCGAAAACAGATGAAGATGCCACAGGGTTCCCGGATAAATGCACGTAAAACAAACCTTTTGAAGCGACAGATGGAGAGCGAATTTATAGTACTTCACCAGAGTCTTGAATAGATGTCTCGGATAAACAACAAACGTCGATATTAAGATTTTCAAAAGACAGATAGCCCTAACTGTTGTCCGACATGCATTAGTATGCGGACATTGAAGGCAGCCAGTTTGAATGGTGCAAGTGGTTTCAGAGTCAGTCAGTCAGCTACAACGTAGGATCGGGGACATATGTGCATCGGTCCAAGTTCCCATACCGCATTATCACAACAAGATGAACACCGGAGTTGTTAAGTCAATAGTGGTAATATATAAAAGAAAGATTGCATATAAGGATATAACACAGGAAGAAAGAATTAATTCGTAGAAAGAAAGATATGAAGTGATTTTAATCTCTTAGTTTAAGGGAAGACAGAGAGTGTATACACCGACGCCACTGTGATCAATTCTGAGCCATGTCACCAAGAGTCACCAACCATTAGTTACGACAGTCGCGCCAACCCAAACCAAGTAATCTGCATCTCCTAACATGGCTCAGATCAGAAGTTAATGTCTTCAAGTACTGATGCCACGTTTTGGTTTGGCCGCTCCTAAATTTATTACAACCATCCCCAACACCGGTTAGCATTGCATGTCGTGGTAATCCTTGTTCAGGCATACGTAACATGTGGCCCAACCATCTCAGTCGATGAAGATTCACAACCTCATCAACTAATTTACCACCATTCTCTAATAACCTGCGTCTAACCTCACTATTACTTACCCGGTGATCTCAGCAGATCCGAGCAATATTTCTAAGGCATCTGTGGTCAAATACTAGTGCCTCACGAGTATCCTCTACTCTTAATGGCCATGTTTCGCTGCCGTAAATTAAAACAGAACGAACTGTCGCGCAGTATACTCGTCCTTTTACTGATAGACGGATATCCCTCCTTCGCCATAAATGACGTAAGTTGGCAAAAGCCAAACGAGCTTTTGAATCCGTTCAGACACCAACCCATTAGGGCTGATCAGACTTCCAAGATAAGTGAAGTTGTCAACGCATTCGACTACTTCACTCCCTATCCTTAGTTCAGGTGTTGACACAGATCAGTCCTGAAGCAACAACTTGCATTTAGAGGGAGAGAAGCGCATCCCAAACATTCTGGCATTGTTGCTTAGTGCTACCAGAAGACTCTGCATTGTATCAGCGTCTTCACCAAACAGGACTATATCATCTGCGTATTCTAAGTCGATAAGTGGACCTCCTGGAAGGAGATCAATACCTGAGAATTCAGTCGACGAGAATGTTATTTCCATCAGTATGTTTATGATGAAGTTAAACAAAAATGGAGAAAGTGGACAGCCACTTGAGGTTGTAAAATCAAATGACAGTTCGCCATAAGCTCTGACTCGACTAGTAGTGTTCGAGTAAAGAGCTTTTACACGGTTTATGTACTTTTGAGGTACGCCTTTCAATGACAGACACTGCCACAGAATCTCGCAGTCTACAGAGTCAAATGCTGCTTTTGAGTCAAGAAAGACCACCATTGTCGAACGCCGATAAGTATGCCTATGTTCTAGAACCTGACGAATGGTAAATATGTGGTCGATGCAGACACGACCAGGTCTGAAGCCAGCTTGATTCTCTCGTGTTTGCAGTTCACCGGTCTTAGTTAGGCGTCCGATAATTATCGAGGCTAGTATTTTAGATACTATATTAGTTAAACTAATCCCTCTATGGTTGTCAAAGGATGATTTTAAACCCCTCTTATATATTGGGACAGTAAGTGATTATGACCAGTCAGATGGAATAACGTCTAACTCCCAAATCTTATCTAAGATATTAGTCAACTTAATAGCTAAAATTGGACCACCATCCTTAAAGACCTCTGGAGCCAATTCATCTGCTCTTCCTCGTTTTAGATTAACTATGGCCTTTTGAACTTCAGCAAGAGCTGGGGGTAGTTATAGAGTAGCTGAACTGCTCCTTAAGATGTTCTTCCCATCGTTCTAAACGTCTGGACTGGGAGCAGATGAGTGTCGTCTTTTTCCGAAACAGTCTCATTTACGCTTGTCTTATTAATTCCATTTTCTTCTATTAGTCTGTAAAGATGTCTTGTGTTCACCATAGCCGCCGCCTTTTCCTCTTTTGCTTTCGTTGCTCACCACTGCTCACGGTCGTTCCTTAGACTTTTGCTTAACCTAGATCTGATTTGTTTACGCTCTTCATCGTGCTCAGAACCTGATGGGATGAGTTTGCGAGAATCCATCAGTGCAATAGACCTTGAAGAAATCCATTGGTTCTTTGTAACTCTGTGGTTTAAGTCACTAATAGATGTCACTGCTGTCTCCACAGCTGTTTGTATATCTTTCCAAGAAACATCTGGGTCAGCCTCGTTTCCAGAACTACCTAAGTGTGACCTCAGTTGTTCCTGGAACTTACTTTTGGTTTTCTCGTTACTCAATTCAGTTCTAATGGGTCTTTTTAGCGTGGGTTTTTGCGTCCAGTGAGGCCCAAGCAGATGCGTGCCCTAGCTGTTGTCTGACCTGCATTAGTGTGCGAACGTTGAAGGTAGCCAGTTTGAATGGTGCACGTGTTTTCATAAAAACTACTTCATTACTCGTATTTGGTGGTAGCATACAATTCTCAACCAGGCAGTGACTCAAGAATGTTTATACAGAACCGAATTTCCACTATAGGAGAGCTGCTGTATAAGTCGAAAAATAAGGATACACGAAGTGGGAATAAAAGAGAGTGAATAAGTGACGTGGTAAATAATAATGTGAATTGTTTGACTGTTAATCGAAGCGTGAATAGTCCTTTCAGTAAATATCGTCATTTCATTCTATGTGTGTGTGCTGTGATACTACCCAGGTGCCCAAACCGAAGCAGGTGATTTTCTTAGGGGGCCACACCCTGAGCCTTTGACCTAAAGGTCTGACCCACAAAGTAGTGGAGCATCGTGAGGAGATGCAGTCCCATGGTGGCCGGTGACCAACAATTGGTTAATATGCCATTTGTTCCTTCAGGGTACTGGAGCCCATGTGCACCATTGGTTTGGAATCCGGTTAAAGGGCCGGACATTCGCTTTTCGTCCTCTCATTTTCGTAAACAACACCCCCGCCACGAGAAGGCAATGAGTAGGACTTCCCTGGCAGAGGCTGTATACATGTGGCCATGTGAGAGCACTTCGAGAGGAAGAGCGGGCCCTCCTCACTTTAGACTGTACCAGGGCATTTGGGGGCAAATAGTTATGACTTCGTTTATTTATGTAAATATTGTGCCCCTAACATTGGGGCTTTTAAAGCAGTTCTGTAGATATTTTTCTGATGGAGAAGAGTTAGTCCGGAATCGAAGCCACGCTGAGCTGCCCATAAGTGTTAGCCAAATAAACCTAGGCAAGTATTCTGAATAATGATAAACTTTTGAACTCCCAAACTTTTTAAAGTGTAAGTTGAAATTTATTTAAGCACAGTCTATTTTTAAACAGATAAAATAGTTGAAACTGATCTGGCTACGTGATTAGCCTCACGAAACAGCAAATGTGAGGAATCGTTAGCTGGGGATTCGAAAAGTAAGAGGTAAGTAACTAGCCAGATACATTAACCGTAACGTGATTACGGTTTATACTTACTGAGTCTTTATACACGTTATTGATAAAAAAACTAACCTCAAACTACTTGTGTTTTAAGAGTTAATAAGCTTTAGTGAATAAGGTCTGTTGATTCCGTGTAATCTAATCTCTACAAAGATAGGTAGAATGACTTTGTAAAGGCCAAAACGTGACATCAGTTCATGAAGTCACTGAATATTGGACTGAGTTGTGTTGGCAGATACAAGCTACCTGGCTGGGGGGCGCACGAATATCACAACCAGTGATTGAAGACGTTGAGTGACATGGTTAAGAAGCGGTCGCAATTATGTAAATGGATTCACTATATATTTTCTCTTAGATATTGATTTTCGAAACTATATGATGCTTTTTCGATTCACAAATCCATCTTTTCTCGATTCGTTTACTACCACTGGTAGCCGTAACTACTTCTTCTACTATTACTTTTATCTTGATAACATCATTTCGCTGTGCTGCACCAACTTGATGCCCGTATGCACCAGGTTCTAAATGGTGTTTAACTAGATGATCATATACAGACATATATTTGAATATTTGCGTATAAGATGAACAAAAAATGTACTTCAAATAAACTGATTTAATATTGTGGTATATATATTTAGAAACAACCTAGTACGCAATTAGGATGATAGTTTTGATAAGTCTCACTGAGCAGAGTATAATTCTACGATAATAAATGGTATCTATCGAGAATTTTCGATGGAAACATGTGTTCATAATTTGAAACATGTGAACAATTGATTTACGATTAATTCAATGAAAAATGTTTGCTTCAGATAGATATGAGTAAAAAGACGCATTGAAATATACAGTATATGAAAGATAATTTCAAAATAAGATAAAACTATACATGGAGTCTGAAAACTGTTCTCATATAAGGCCTTCCATTTCACGCATAAACTCTTCATATGCATCATCTTTGCTAGTCGCTGATCCAGAATTAATTCCTGTAGTATCAGATTTGGCAACACGATCATAAACAGCATTCGATTGTTCTAAAATTGAAATAAAAAACAGAATAACTGGATTATTTGAGTAGGATATAAGGTAATACTTTGACTAAACTTTTTCGGGTTTTAAATCACATATACGTGAGGCTTCAATTAGAATATCACGCCCAAGCAGTTAGTTCATGTCTAATTAGGGATGCTATCATACTCCAAGATGTTCAATGTGTGGAACTAAGTTTGTGATGGGTCTTTCCAAACTCACGATGAGCGCTTAAAATACCTAAATCTCTTTCTCATATAGTAGAACTTGAGGTGACCTTATAGTAACATTCCCTATCGTAAATAATGATGTAGGGAGAGTATGGCTGAAAAGCGATTACATTGAAACAACTGTCTCGATCATATATCCTCCTGTCGAACTCCAGCTTAGTGTCATGATCTAGTAGAGTGTAGAATTACATTCACAAACACTTCGTAACCAAGCATTATAATACGTGTAAGAAGAATATTGATAGTCGTTTTTAAAGAACTATTTATAAAATATCCAATTTCCTGGTACAGTAATTAGTAATTACAAACTGATATTGTCCCGTCATATCCAGGGTAAGGGGGAACCTAACTTGTTACATATACAGAAATAATATAAAAACGTTTACAAAGGTCTCCTATGCGCGAAAATATTAAATAGACTAGTCCTTTTGAAACTATATATTACTACAATGTAAACTCACTTCCTGTTCCATATGCAGCTGTCCCTCCACCTGTAGTGACTAGACGACCACTAGTATCACGAACAATTCTACGTACTTTAAGCGCTGTAGGGACAAAACGTGTTGCGTCACCTATTAAATTTTTCAGTTGGGGCTTTGCTTCTATAGTAGTTCCACTTGGATTTGGTTGATTTGTTGGAATGCTCGCTACAGCTGGACCACTTACAAGTTCAGCATTATCAAGTGGATCACGAAGGTGCAAACTGGGTGGAGCTGATAGTATAGCCCCAGTGGCTGAATCAAAACAGGGTTGAGATTAGGTTAAGAAACTAATAAAAAAGAAATGCTTTTTATTTAAATGAACAAGAGGTTTTATAATTTTACATCAATAATTGGAAAGTGTATGATGGCTTAATCTAATAAACCGGACTGATGTAAAGTAAAAAACTACGTTGAAATGGTGTGTCGCACAAAGTTGAATTTACCAGTAACAGTTCCTCAGAATTCCCAGATTTTTGGTGTTGTTGGAAAAACTTGCCCTATAAAAGCTTATAACTAAAATATGCGTATTGGTAGTAAGAATGTTTCTACACCCGTCCTTGATAAATACATACATCTAGAAAAAGGTGTATTAGACTAACGATATACAATTAAAGTAGATCCAAAGTATATTTAAAACAAAAAGCCCTCATAACCAAATTTTGTGCGACTCATTTTTAACACTGATTAAATGCACAATGACTGGCCTTAGTTAATGAACCTGGAACGAGGGGTGTCAGATATAAGTAATGCAATGTTTTGAAAATGACTTACGGCGTTGGTAAGAGAAACGACTTAGAGTGGGCTGAGGTGCTCCCGGAAATCCTGGACGAATAAGACCAGTAAAGGATGGTAAAGCCATGGGTGGTGGTAAAGGGATTTGAGAGAGTGGAGGAGTAATACCTGCAAATTAAAGTAAGAAACAGAGTTACATGATTTAATTGCTAAGAGTTAACCGACGCTCTGAAACGCTTCGCAACTATAATGTTTCCTCAACCGATTTAAAGCAGTTGACTTACTAGAAATGGTGAATGGAAAATATATCAGAAGAATACGGACAAACACCATATAGTGATTAGACCAATATTTTCTGGTAAGTTTTAGGAAGACGGAGTGCGTTTTGAAGTTCTTTACTTTGAATAATACCTAGATTTTGACTAGAGCATGCCCGCCGGTAGAAAAATGTATACGTTAGTAACAAAATTTGGAGGAGAATGATCATATATTTGGTTTTTGGAAGGCGTGGATCTGTTTCCTGGAGAAGGACTTCTCGACTTTGAGTACGTGGATGATATTGTCTTACTGTGCGATAATACCCCTTGTGTTCAAATAAATAATAAAGTTATACAAATATTTAGGTGGGTGAGGTTAAAAGTATTTAGACAGTCATTTTTTTAATTACATGGACTCGTTCTGCAATGCCATGCAAAGGCATGGATAATCAAAAAACACAAAGTCAATACACAAGCATAGGGCACAGTCAGTACGCAACGCCATATGCATGAACTTAAGTGGGATACGACTTTGGTGAAATTCAATAAATGTTGAGTCGAATGTGAATCAATATGATGTGAAGCTACATGTCACGTGCTTCAACAATTATCGCTGCCTATATTTAATGTTTACTATTCCGAAAATGTTGACTTCGCAACACATGACAAAAATCCAGAAATAATCACTGTTTGGTCTAATGAGGATATTCAAACATTGTATCTGGTGCTCCTTTGTACCATTTTGTGTTCAAGCAAATAAATATAAATTCAGTAAAAAGAGGTTAACAGCTTGACTTACTAGTAAATCCACCGGTGAATTTCTCGCCGAGATGAAGAGATGAATCACCAATTAGTTCTTCTTGCTCCGGCTTTAAAGAAACGTTATTGTATATATATACCACTTTACATACCATAGGGTCTGCATCAACAAACCGGATTTTGCGTTGCTTTGTCGTATTATCAGCAAAATTATCTTCTTCTTCGCTATCTGACAATTCAGGAGGTGTTCCTGGAGGTGGTCCAGGCGGCTTACGACCTGCAGGAAGTATACTAGGTGGAAGCCCTGGAGCTCTGTCGGTGTGAAAACAAGATAAATAAAAACTAAGTTTCTTGTTTTGGAATTTAATACAGTGGTAGTAATACGAGATCACAAAATTATCAGGTGAGTTTACTCTCCAAGATGTCATCAAATTTAGCTAAACAAAATCCACAATCGCGAATAGCATGAAGTTGTGCTATATTCTCAACCAATCCTCGTTTACGTCAAATAATTTGTGACCTCATTTCTGCTGATGCAGTGTGGAAGCGACAACGGACAACTTACAAATGCCCTGATACGGCCGAGAGTGGGGAGAGTCCGCTCTCCCTCTCAAAATACTCTCACACGGCCACGCGTATATAGCCTCTGCCAGGAAAGTCCCACTCACTGCCTTCTCGTGGCGGGGGTGTTGTTTACGAAAATGAGAGGACGAAAAACGAATGTCCGGCGCTTTAACCGGATTCCAAACCAATGGTGCACATGGGCTCCAGTATCTTGCGGGAACAAATGGCGAATGAACCAATTTTTGGTCACCGGCTTCCATGGAACTGCAACTCCTTACAATGCTCCACTGCCTTGTGGATCAGACCCTCAGGTCAAAGGCTCGGGGTGTGGCCCCCTAAGAAAACCACCTGCTTCGGCACTCGGGCAGTATCACAGCCCTCACACATATCGAATGAGATTTGTGTGGCGCATATGTATTCGGTGCCTCTTTGTACCATTATCTATGTGCTGAAATAAATAATAATAAATAAAACTGTTGATTGAGAAAAGTAAGAATATTTGCCTAATTTTTCTATTACCATTGATGCTTTTGTAATCTCAATTATTCTGGGATTCGATCAGACGATTTCATGTTACTTGATAAGTGAAATCGCAATTTTCTATCAATTTTACTTTAATACCAACTAATTTTCACGTAAGTATATTTATGTTGACCCTAAATCTAATTCATAACCTCAACCATCAAGTGTAAATCCTAATTCCTCACACTGGTTCATAACCCTCCTACAGTCTTAGTTGTTAAGTGGACACTCTCAAGGTCACCTTGATGTCGCTCAAAGATTGTCCATAAATCATAGTCCTACCAACAAAGCTGTTATTTGTAGTTTTGAGTCCACCGGATGCAACTATATGTACGGAAGCATGGACCAGTGCATAGGCAGACTAACATGAATTGTGCGGTTACAGAGACAGCAATAACGAGCCAACCCTTAGTTTATAGATGGAAAAGATTATTTTTTTATCGTGAGTGAAATCGATATTGACAAATATTTTAACTAACCCTAATGACTTCTTCAGAATACCTTTAGCGTAACCTCCAGGAGGCAATGGTATGTCGGACGTTATAAGACCCATCTGTGATTGCGGCAGTTTTGGGAGCGGAATTTCACTAGCTTTTACTCTTTCAGCTAACTTTACTTGTTCTGTGGACATAAAGTAAGAATACATGCTTACCGTAATAAAGCATCATCTCATGCCGTCTTTTGTCGTAGTCTTGACGAGCTGCTTGAAGCCGGTTGGCATATTCTGCATCTTCTTTCCTCTGAGTATAATTATAACAACAATGTGAACTTATTTACGTATAACATAACAAGACGGTCGAACGTTTCCAACAGCTTTCGGCGTTTTTCCTGAATGACCCTTTCACTGAGTTGAGCTTGAACACTGGGATCGTACTCTGAAGTGAAATTAATCTAACCCTCATACAATTTACCTTGTTTATCATAGAGAGTCGTTTCTTCTAATAATTGTAGAGGGTCTTTGGATTTAAGCACTGCATGACGCACAGCCATGCGTTGTTTTTTGTTTTTCTTCAATTCCCGTTTTCTCGCTTCTTTTCTCGCTTGGTCTGTTGGGTTCATAAACTTCCCACTTTTTGTAGTATTCACCGAACGACGACCCATTTTCTACAATTTGCAGATTTTTCGGAAAGACCGCCAATGGTAATTGGTGACCTATAAACTTCAAGTCCAAAATGTGTGTGTGATGAAAAAGTACATTTTTGTTTTTAAAACGTGAATCGATATATGAAATAAGCAATCGAGAACAAAGTTAAGCAAATATAACCATAAAAGATGAAGAACATTGGTAAGTTATAGAGATACTGTCCTTGTTATATAAGAATATGTCTAGTCTCATCTTGGATGACTCCTGAGAATTCAAATGGTTCAAATTGTTGTGAACGGAATAAAAGAAGCTTTTGCTTTACTGTCCTCCGTGTTTAGTAGCAGTGGATCACCAATGCCTCCAGACAGGAACTCAGGTATATTAACGATAAAAGGGAATAGAAAAATTGGTAAATCAAAGTAAGATACTTTCCTTACTCCTTAAGAATATAACAAGTTGTAACGGTAAATAAATCCCCAAACTAAATAGCTCTGTAAGTTTTCAACATTGGATGCTGACCATATGTTTTAGTGGACTCATCTATAGTAATGAAAGACGACCAGACGCCGCTAAAATTAGTAAGCTATCAGGATAGTGTTTACCAACGACAAACTCGTTGGGTTTAAACTTCTTGCTGGTCACGTCTTAGGGTCATCACTACCCCACTAGGGGGGAGTGATCTGTAGCGGTAAATAAATCCCCAAACCAAATAGCTCTGTAAGTTTTCAACATTGGATGCTGACCATATGTTTTAGTGGACTCATCTAGCTGAATGCGCTCGGTTATGCATCCGCACCAGATCACGTGTGGTAACGCTGTGCTCAACATCTACCGCAACCGCTAACCAGATTAGATCAGAGAATTCCGATATATTGGTTATCGCCAAATACACTCTTCCGATCTACTTGACTCTGTCTTTTGATTTCTCGCAGTGGGAACAAATTATATTAGGTGTTACTGGTAGAAGCGTTGACAAACACTGAATACCTGTATCATCCTCAAAGTTTTCTCCTAAAGGACTCCTGGGAAGTCGGTTGAACTATCTTATCCAGCAGCAGATTCTAGCCATTGACTTTTCTTAGGGATTGAAAATTGTGTCTACAGTCCGTTTTCCTGAGTTGTGTCTCCAGTTTTTGGGTATAACCCCTCAGGCTTGTGTTGGAGCTAAACCTAAGTATGTGTTTAAGGGGATGTCCAGAAGTGTTTAGCATGCTGTACACTGTCAGAACATCACCTCTAAGACGGCTATATTCTAACGAGTAAAGGTTTAATGATTGAAGGCGCTCTTCATAGGGCTTGAATTTGGGTCCTCGAACTCATTTCATGACTTGCCGTTAGATACGTTACAGTTTGTCCTTGTCATTTTGGAGTGAGAGAGGAAATACTATTTTCCCGTACTCTGAATGGGGACGAATGAATCTGTTGAAGATTAGGTGGAAATTTTTTCCGTCAAACTGGCCATTCTCTTGGACTAGCTCAGTCGGCAGCCAAATCCATCCTGCTGTGTTGTGCCCCCAGTTTCTGTGTGCTGTCCGTGAGCCTTTGTTGATGCTGAGCTGCAGTAGGTATTTAAGGGGGTGCCCCAAAGTGTTTGGGATGTCGTGGGTCATTAGGTCACCTCTAAGACTCCTGTACTATAACGGGTAAAAGTTTGGTGATTTCAGGTGCGATTCTATCATGAGACTCCTCGCGAGTCACCAAACCTCAATGTCATCTGCTAGGAATAAAACCGATGACCTTGTTTATTTAACAGACCACTTACGCAGAGGAGGAAACGTTTGTAAGAGTTCTCCTTTTTGGGAACCTAAATCTCCAAGGATTCCATCCTAGTGTCAAGCTTGAAATATCTGTTTGTCAAGTCTGTATTAACCAAATAATTTCTCTGCTCTCACCTCCTGTTGTTTTGATACGATTCTAGGTGTTTTGTAGAGTCTAATGAGTGATAATCTAGTCCCTCAGCCGCATTAAGTTAAGTCAGTGTAGTGGTTTTTTTATAGATTTGAAGTTTTTGTAGTTTGAGTGAGTAGGTTTGCTTCAGGGTTGCAGGGTTTCTGGATACCAGCAGCCTTCAGACTACCTGATAAGACGTTGGTTGGTTGTAATGTGAAAATAATGAAGTGATCGTTTGAGTGATAAAAGAAGACAATTGTCTCAAGAACAAATATTTTACTTACTTGATGCTATACTTTATAAGTTCCCTCTAAGAGCATAGTGGTGACGTTCTGGTAATATACTTTTGTCGGCGTGGCCTGGTATACTTAATATGTTCTATATTATAACTTATTCTTCCCTAGCTGAATAAAAATAAACTTAGGTGTTGGATTCTGTTATCGTACGATTTATGTCTTAGACTTACCACCCGCTTAGTTGCACGTCCCTGTCCTTGGTCTAAGAGACTTATATCTTTTTAGCTGAAGAGGTGCCTTACGAACTTCAAGGTAGGGCCGTGTGTAGTTTTATCAGTGATAGGAACATGTCTGGGACGGTTCAGCTACGCTGTCTTCGCATAATGTGGAGACTTGGGTTTGTTTTAGGTACATCCCTTATGTCGTTTGCACTAGTGTTTAATTTTTCCGTAGTTACAAGTCCAAAATCATGCACTGAGGAGACAATCGGGAGCAGATTTTCGTGGGAGGTACAGTGTTTATAACATGACATTTCGACGGGTTAAGTTTCATTACATTATCTGATATCCATCCCTCTATCGTTGTAAGGTCCTACCGAAGCTCAAGTGATTCACTTTCGCCCCCTGTGGAATTCCAGATCTTTCCGCCACCTTCGTAGATTAGTGCGGCCAAGCTAATTTTATCTTATACGTTTTAGTAAAGGTCAGGAACAGGAGCGAACTTAAGATTGTTCACCGTGCAACTCCTGATATCGAGAGACTCTGACTGACGTGCACCGCATCTTCGTACAAAACATCTCGTTCTTTAGGTGGCTGCAGTGTCGGAATATAAGTGGGTCAATGGAACCCATCTTTTGAGCATTCGTTATGAGATGTACTTGAGGTACCGCATCAAAGGCTTTTCGAAGTCGAGGAATATTGCATGTACCAATGTCTTTTGGTTCTAGCAGTTTGTCCAGCAATCGCATGGGAAGCATATAACCTACTTTTTCTGAACCCATGTTGGGTTTCATGGATTTTGTTATTATTCATGTATTCCCTTATTTTTTCACCGAACGATCCCTTCATTATCCTCGAAAGTAATGCCACTGGTCTGTAACAGGCTGTGTCTTTTTGCATCCTCCTTCGAATATTAGAGTGTGAGCTTATTCTATTTCCTTGGGAGTTGATGTGAATCCATTGAGTGCCTGAACGTGCCATATTGGTATGCTAATGTTTTCCGCGCACGTCCTGGCGACTTTCTTGGGAGTAGGGATTTTAGTATCCCTAGTAATAACCTGTGAGTTAGTTGAATTTCTTCCAGACACTCAAATGAGACTAGAGTTTTAAAGTGTTTCAAGTTTGCGGGTTTTTAGTTTAAATATGTGTGGAGTTGACATTGAAAAATTCTGTCATCTGTAAGTTAGTAGGGTCTTTGCTATCTGACCCTATGATGATACAGATCCCATGGTTTGTGAGTTTTCTCCTGGTCATGAATATGTGGGGATATTTGGAATCAGCTTGCATTGCGGCTGCTATAGTAGCTTGAGAACATCTATCACACCGGACTTTGGTGCTGCATCTGTTTTTCAATACCAAGTAAGAGTTTTGGTTGGAATCCCACAGGGAGACTTTCTTTCTGTTCTAGGTTTCCTGTTTGGTCTGCAGCAAGCGTTTCTTGCCTCTCTTAATCCAAGATTTTTCGTTTTTTCAGGTTCGCTTGTCTGAGTGACGTTAGGATTCTGAATGATGACCCTGACTATGTCACATTGGTCATCCACTGTTATCCCAGTCACTCTTGTCCCATCGTGCGTATTGAAATTGCTTCCTTTTGATCGCGTGGTCTGTTCTAGTGCTGCTTAGATAATAAATGTTCTGCTCCGTTCGAAGTCTCGTGTTAAAAATGACTGTACCATGGTCACTACCACTTGTTGATGCGTGGACGTGGAAATCCCCAACTGGCAGCTGACAACTTGTTAGTGAATGATTTCTGTCCAGTAGTTTTTTGTTGAGATCTAGGGATGAATTGCCGAAGTCTCCAGTTTGTAGCACTTGTCAAACTGCAGGTGTAATAGCCGTATATAGCCTGCATTATCACGTCTTTTGAGTGTTAGAATATATGGGGACCGGTATACTCCTCCATTCAGGTACTTTGTTCCATTAACATTGAGCAACACCTGGCATAATTCTGCCACTCCAGCTAATTCGAAATCGTATGTTGTTACATCTATGAAATAACCGTTAATGGATATAGCCACATTCTATTTTATATACCCTATTTTACCAGAAATGTCATGCTCTGCATGCCCAATTCTGAATATATGATGGCGGTCGATAGCCACGTTCCAGCTAGAACGATGATCTTCAAATGTAACTGAAAGCATGTTTCGGACTTTTCCTAGTTTGCTCCTCAGTTCTCTCACGGTGCTTTATAGGCATATGATGGTTGTTCTCATTACCTGGTGATCAGATATAACAGCATCTGTCTTCTAGTTTTAAGGCAGTTCATTGCCTAGTGTGTACTTCCCAACCTTGTACAAACCGCTTTTTGTGTCCTTTTCAGAGTTGCGCCTCAGTTACGTCTTCACGCTTTTTGAAGTTCACAGACATCAGATGCTGGGACCCAATGGTCATGAGATTAAACGGACGAGGTATCTTAGACGCTCTACTTATAGTAGCTACGTGAAAGCTTATTTTATGGAATAACCAACGCCACTGTTGCATATTCTGTTCGTGAGCTACATCCCGACTACCGACTACTAATACAGACACTCCATGAGCCACAATGCTGACTGATTCTCTGGTGTCTGATCACCTTTTGGAGGCCTGCATCCACCATTTGTTGTGTCTATATCAAACTTGAGAGAATCGTTTAACCGATGGTCTCTAGGATATCAGTAAACTTTTCCCTAAATATAAAGTTACCTATTATGAAGAGAGTGTATTTTTGGTAACGTTCTGGCACTTATACTGGAGGCATGGCTTGGCTGAACTGGCG